TAAGTGGAGAAAGCCTGGATCAGAGTGCAGACAGGAGGTCCTCTCCCCTCTCAACTAGCACTGCTCCTGCAACTGCTCAGCTCCTGCTCATGCTAGAGCTCGCCTCCTGCTCCTGCTCCTGCTCCTGCTGCTGAAGGAACCATCTATGACCATCAATGGAGTTCGAGCTGAGTTCCCTCCATGACATGAATGACCTCAGGCAAGTATCAGCCTCAATATCGAGGACAGGTCATCGAGGACCGAAGCAGGAGGGATATAAGCTACTGGCAAAGGGTGAGGGGGGGGGGGAGGGGAGGAGCAACTGACCTCAGTCTCGCTGTCTTCTGAGTTGCTTAGCGAGCTGCAGGCATGATGAATGGCTGGGCTCGAAGTTGCCGAAGTTGCCAACCTACGATGGAGATGAGAGGAAGGAGAGAGGCGGGAGAGGAGGAGCGAAAGAAGGATGAAGTAGCAGGAAACACACAGCTACTATCATGATGGGGAGAGATAAGCGAAAACGAATGTATGTGGTAGAGACGAGCAAAGGGACAAGCGGAGGATGTCACTTTGTATCTCCATCCCATCGCGGATCTCCATGGGCCCCCACGTGAGCGAAGCTCGAGCTCTTGAAGCTCTTCTCCGCTGACAGCCTCTCAATCGTCGCTGCATCCCCTACAGTCTGGTGAAGGAGCAGCAGCGGCAGGAGGAGGAGGAGGCGGCGAGTAGGGGAAGGAAGCAAGGGGTAAGAGCCAGTTGCTGATGCCATCGAATCGTTTTATCTTTCAGCAGCTCGCAAATGTCATCGCAGCATGTCCGCCTGCGAGCAAACGCAGATCAGCCTGAAGCTTTTCTTCCACCTTACTCGCTTTCCCATAGGAAGAGGCTCGTCTACTGAATTCACCACCCTGCCTCCATTCCCTTCCTTTGCCCCTGTCAGCCATAGCATTGGAGCCCTCTTCCCTCCTCGCATCAGCTCTCTCCTGCACTGCTTGTTTCCTACTTGTCCCTCCCCCTCAACCTCCCACTCAACTACAGTTGGACCAACGTTCTGTTTAGTTTTTGCTCCCTTCGCTTCTCTCGACTTGATGTCTGGCATATTTCTAGCCTACCTTTCAACAATCCTCTCTCTCCAGCAGTAATTTTCATTCCCATTCCCTCCTCCCCTCCCTTCCCCTCCCCAACTAAGACCACCATGGACCCAATCGTGTTCCTGTGCCGTCTTGTCTCTTGCCCCGTCATTCCTGCACCTACCCTATCATCATCTCCTTGTCCAATGAATTCTTTCTCCCCTCCTCCCTCCCTCCCTCCCTCCTCTCTCTCTCTCTCTCTCTCCCTCACCCCATTTCTGAGTACAACCTTGATCTGTTCAAGCACAACATCCACCTATCCACTCTCGACCACACGTTCGGCTTTAGCAAAAATAAATGCCCAAACAAGCCCTCTCTGCCTCAAGATCACCCCATGTGAATTATGCATCTTGCTTTCTCGGCTACGTAGTCCCAAATTCTCTGCCTATCTACCTCGATTGCTGGTGTTCCATCGTCTCGTCCACTTCACAATGAAATACTCTGTGCCCCAGATGGCTGCACTCCAA